CACACACACACACACACACACACACACACACACTCTCACTCATCTTTCTCACTAACGGGGCATTTATAATTAGACCTTCAACCCTGTGCTATTGCATTTATCTGTTTCGCTATTTCCTATTTTCCACAATCCCATAGATATACTAACCCAAGTTTGAAAGCTTCAGATTGAACGGTCTAATCTAAGCTATTCTGTCCTAATCTAGGTGCTCTCTCTCTCTCTCTCTCTCTCTCTCTCTCTCTCTCTCTCTCTCTCTCTCTCTCGCGCGCGCGCGCGCGCGCGCGCGCGGGCGTGCGCGGTTAAGATTCTCTTTTCCAGGCCGCTGCTCCACTGAATCATTTTCCGCTGCTCCACACTCGCTGCTCCGCTGTCCGGTCTCCGATACACTCTGCTCTGTCGATCTGATTGTCCCAAGGGCCACGTGGGACAAACCCTACCGTGCTTCCCTCCCATCTTGCTTTGTCTCCATCGACTTTCCAACCTTCATTCTTGGGAAATGGAGCAAAAGCATCCGTTTCAAGTGGAAAGCTGCACAGAGCTTTCGACTTTCCATTTTCGAAGCACAGTTCCAAGTGTTCCATGGGAAAGTTGCTGGCTTCCAGCGTTCTTCGGCTCGACATGTTCGGTGTGTTCGCGTAGTTCTAGGAACCTGCTATGTATAACGAATAACTCCACAGCCCGTTACATCCCCACCTCTTCCCCCCCCTTCCCTGGGACAAGTTCATGTCACTGGTGCTCAAGCTCACGTCGAAGCTTGTCGGCTGCGTGACACGCCTTCCCCGTGCTGAGCGCCCCGGGGCATGGCGTGTGAACTCCGCACCAGCAAGATGAAACCCTAACGCGCGCGTCGTGAGGGCAGATCGCTATGGCGCGGACCTCCCACTTCGTCCCCTCTCTCTCCAGCCTAACTGAACTGAACAACTTTTGCCTCAGGGTCACATCGAAATTCTTTACGAAATTTAAAATAAAAAACAATTTAAAATATAGTTAAAAATATTTTTTTTATTTTTATTTTTTATTTTTTTTGGCTCGGCCGGGCAAGTGGCCCCGGGCCACTCTGGTAGTCTAGACGGAATGTGTAATTCGCATCCAATCGGATCCAAACCTATCTGCCTGGCCTCATTCATGCTGATCAGACAGGCTTTTTACAAGGCAACCAGATCTTGGACACTGTCATGGCCGTTAGCCAAGGCATGGAGTACATTAATCGGACGACAAACCCTGTTGGAGTGCTTCCCCTTGACTTTGAGAAAGCCTACGACCGGGTCAATTGGAACTTTCTGCTAATGTTGCTTCGCCGCCTCAACTTCGGACCCAAATACATTGCCTGTGTACATGCTCTTTTCACGGGTGCTACCGCCTGTCTTCTTATCAACGGCAAGCTCTCGCAGCCTGTCGCCCTCACTCGTTCAGTGATTCAAGGCTGTCCGCTGGCCCCCTACTTCTACATTCTGTATATTGAGTCTTTGCATTCCATGATTCAAGCAAATCACATCATTGGCTTGCGCTTTTCTCCGTCCCAACATGCTAAAGGTCAGTCTTTTGCTGACGACGCTTTCCATTTCTACTACTTCAAGATCAAGTTTTTGATGCCCTTAAACACACTATCTCCCTCTTCACTGAAGTCTTTGAGGCCAAAATCAACTGGCACAAAACTATCCTGCTGCTTTGACGGCCACCTTGGCAAGTCTGCAGATCAACTTATTGACTCCATTAACATTGTGCTTGCTTCCTGGGTCAAAGCAAAAGGTGTTGCTCTGTTTGGCCGAGCACTCACCATCAACAACGCCGTGTTTGCTAAACTGTGGTATGAACACTCCATCTGTGTTTTGCAACCAACAGTATATAAACATCTTAAACGTGCTGCAGCCAACTATATTTGGAAAGAGAAGATTGCAGAACCATCCTTTATTTCTAAAGTTTCTTGGATGAAAATGATTCAAAAAAAGAATAAAGGTGGGTTGGCGGTCTTAGATCCTGAGTTACAAACTCGGGCCCTACTTACCAAATGGCCGATCCGCTTGGTCTTCGCTGACGAATCGGCCACTTGGAAGGCCCTGGCAAAATGCCTGCTTGCTCAAGACTTTGGTCTCAAAATTGACCCATAACTTGTCTACCTCGCTTGTTTACTGATGAATACTGTCAAAAACGCGCATTGTCTCCAATTTGGCGTGGTATATTGGGCGCTTGGCATGCGATCCCCCCGTCTAGGACACCCCCCGTGATCCAATATGATCGGTTGTTGACCCAACCAATTTTCAATAATCCCTGCCTCTTGAATGATGATGGTATGCCTTTTCCCCCGCTAGGCACTAGATCCTTTGGATCTACATGCATGTCTCGTGGTGTTGCCACATTAAGACATATGTGGAACGAGGACACTTGCAAATGGAAAGACTAAACACAAATGCAACACCTTCTGCATGGACTGCGTGACTGGCAATTGAACTTGTATAACATTCAACAGGCTATCCCCCGCGAATGAGTCTCTGCTCTGGCCCAGCAAAAGTATTTACCAGGAGCCTGGTTTCGTGACGCCGCAGATACGCACACACAACAACTGTGGCGTCTTGAATCCCAACTTTCTGATACCGAATGGGAAATGACGTCTTGGACCCTCACCACTGGTCAAACTGGGTTGGGTGTCCCACTCAAAAGGTTATCAGCGGCCGCCATCTGTTCTGACCTGGAGCAACTGACGGCAGTCAGTGTCATACAACATCAAGAAGGATTACAAGTCCAGGACTACCCCTACCGGACCGCTACTGCAGCATAAGATCTCACCCTTGATCCCAGAGACTGGTACTGGTCAGATCCTTGTTGGTCTGATCAGACCCTCCTCCTTATTCAACACTCTGCCCGCATGGCATATGCCAAACTCTTGCCTGATGTGGATGTTGATTGGACTGTCATTACCACATGGTGCAAATGTGGGCTGATTATCCACCAAACCAACCTCACCTCCTTTTGGCGCTTCTTGCCCTCTCTGACGGTAGCCAAGCATGCTGGCCTGCTCTGACTTATTCTGCATAATGCTGTACCGACTGCTGCCTTCGTGTACCGTCGGCTGAAACAAGGATCTCCCTTCTGCACTATCTGCTCTTCAGGTCATCTGGTGGAAGATCAGGAACATCTTTGGGTCACATGTAAACATGCCCAAGCTATTTGGACAATTGTCAAAGCTGCTTGCCCTCTTCCGGTTTCATGGGGAGACCTGTGGTCCACCAATGCTATCCTGTTGGGAATGGCACTGTTGCATCTCACAAAGCCGCGAACTTATATCTACGAATCAGTCAGGGCGGCTATTCTGTGGCAAATATGGCGGCAACGAAATGCTGTGGTCAGATCTGCAGACCTCCCATCGGATCCACAAGTGCTTCAACGATTAAAGGAGGACATACGGCATATCATCTGCTTGGATTGGGGTAAAAAGATCGGCTCATCAAGTACCCTGTGTGCAGAGGAGTCCAGTGGTTTCGTCAACACTGGGCCAGCTGCCCATCCTTGGCATCCATAGATGCTTGTACTAGAGACATTCGGTTTGGACCTTTCCTACAATAGCTGTTGCTTTTGCGGACTTTTTAACCCCAGTTAGGATATCTTTTCGGATTGAAAAACCCGCAGGCGACCCTGTGGGTATCTTGTTAGTGTTTGTTAGTTTTTTGTTTTTGGACTTGGCCTTTTTCAATCTTTTTTGTTTCATACATACTTTAGATTCCTCTGCTTTTTATTTCTGCTGCTCCTTTTTTGGCCTGCAGAGGCCTTTTGCTACAGGGGAGGGGGTCCACCTTATGAAGGATTGGAGACCTAGCTGCCCCTGAATCAGGAACCCCATTACTTTGTGTATATTGCCTTGGGCACTGGGCCCTAACACGATTCTGATTTGGTTAAAAAAAAACAAAGGGGAGAGGCATAAAAAAAAAAAAAAAAAAAAATCAAAGCAAGGACAGCTATCATCAATGGCCCTGATGTGCCTTTTTTTTTTTTTTTTTGTGTGTGTGTGTGTGTGTCTCTCTGATGTGCTCATTCTTTCGGTTTGGTTAGACAGATCAGATACAGGAGACTGCATGGAAACTGAAAGGGGTGCAAATGATTTTCAAGCAGAGGGGACCCTTATGCCTTACTGTGACAAGAGAGGGCCTCTGCTCCAGGTAACATTTCCTCTCCCTATACGGCCTATACCAACAGTTGAAACAAGCATAACCTGCCGGCGGTTTTCTGGACATGTGTGTGCCTGCCTGCAGCCAGTCGAATATCATTCCATGTAAGAGGGGGGGGACGGACCGGTGCTTCAAGCAGCCCCATTTCTTTTACTGTGATTGTGAATTACACATTCCGTTTGTGGGGGGTGGACGGACCGGTGCTTAAACCACCAGCAACAGGGGGTGGTCTCTTATCCCTGTCTGGAGCAGGGGCAGCGAGGGTGATGTTTTGCTTAAAAAAAAAGGAGAAAAAAAGGGGTAAGTTCAGTTGTGGAACAAACAAGTTTGGAAAGGGCAATAAAATCACACGGCAGCCAACCATTTTTACCGATATTGCCCTTTTCAAACTCCGCACCCGATGTTGCTGCCCACACGTGTGTGTTTTTCGCCCTTTCGAAACACAAAGTGTGACACTGCCGGACTTGTTTCAAAAAAAAAAAAAGAAAAAAAAACGTTTCTCAGCCAAATTTCTCTGAGGAGGCAAAATGGCACACGCTGCATCCTTCGGGATGTACCGGCCTGCCAAGCGGCGTGTTATTCATCAAGGCAAAATCGGGCTGTGCATGCGACGGTTTCGCCTGAATGAATTTGCCGCTGCACGGCAGGCCGGCTAGTCCCTGAAAGACATGGCACGGCGCGTGCACACCCTCATCTGAGAAATTTGCCTGTGAAAAGAACTGGTGGTTTAACATTGTCTCTCCCCAAACGTGTGACTTCCTTTTTGTTTCCTCCCTA